GCACTGAGCAAGAGCCGCTCCAGGCGCGCGTGGTATTGCGCGAGGAGCCTCCCCCCTTCCCCTCAGTGGGGTGGGCTCGTCTCGTCCGCCCATCCCGAACGCCCCTGTGCAGGGCTAGGTGCAGTCAGCTCACGTCGCAAGCTCTAATGTTGCCTTCTGCTTTCCTTGCAGCGTGCACAGGTTACAAGGCCCGCAGGACTCGAGTCCTGTTCACGACTTGCACGGACCGGAATCTGGACTAGGCTCAGCACCTAAACAGCTCTATTTGCACACAGGAAACAAGGCTTGGTGGGATCGACAGCATCCTAAGGTAGCCAAGAGGAGGATGACAAACGAGCCCCCAGGGGAATGATCTTTGTTAGACAATACCCCGAGGCAGCACTGATTCAAGACAAAACCAATCCTGTAAACACAAAGGCAGGTAAAGAATCACATGGGAGGAATCTTCTGCCTGTTCTGCATACTGTCTTTTTCAGAGATGTTTCAACAGCGCTAATCATATATTTGCATACAATAGAATAATGCATGGAAACAATTCACTAATGCATTTATGGAGCAACTTCCGAAGAGCTCTAAGCACTTTAAGGGTATTAATGGATTAAACCTCATAGTGGGCCTTGAGTGAAACCACTATTATCCTGTTTGACAAATGGAGAAACTGAGACAAAGAAATTAAGTGACGGTGTGCACAACCTTGCTTACCCAGTGGCAGGAAACCTAGGTTTTCAGACTCACAGCCTTCATCACAAAATCACTGTTTCTTTATAAGGTCCTGCACTGATTAAAAACATGACAGAATTCCACAATAATGGCTCAAACATGACAACAAAATTACTGAAGTGTTCTGGGCCATTGTGTGTAGAATATAATATTCGGTACTGTAGTACTTTTATGAGGAAATAAGCCATTTGTTTTGATGGTGATCTCTTTGCTGTAATCCACTGTCCTCTCTTTTAGCAGAGGCTGAAATATATCAGTATTTAACAAAAATAAACTCAGAGTAATTTCCTTCTCACAGCATGCAGAACTAGCGCACTAACTGCCCACACTCTGCAATGCTATATTAAGCACAGAGAAGAAATTCCAACTTTCTCATGCAGCACTAAGAAATAATTATTGTAGCTCAGAATTGCATGTCAGTTTCTCTGACAAATGATTGCAAGCACATCTTTATGAAGAGAATTAAAAAGTTGTTTTGCTAAAGAATTAAAAACTGGTGTCGTTTTATTAAAAAAGTGGCATTAAACTAAAATACGAAAGTGTACAGTTAATTTAAGCTCCCCCTTTTAAATAGTAAAAGTAGTAAGATTAGATTCTGATAATTTTATATAAACTAAGTGCATATGGGCCCATCCTGCTCCTATCAATAGATATATTCCATTGGTGGTACGATCAAGTCAATGGTGCATTTAAATCATTATGATACCCGTCTGAAAGAGAACTTTGAAAGAAAGACTTCAGAATTAACCCAACTATGCAAGTAGATATGTGGCAATGAACCTTTTTTCTTAGTGTTTATGAAATACAGAGAGAAATAAAAATATACTCAACAGACTAACACAAAGCTCTGTATATATATATTTAGCAAGGGAGGTGGGTGAAAATCATTCAAGTCCAGTCCCCTGCCCTCATGGCAAGACCAAATAACTGTCTAGACCATCCCTGATAGACATTTATCTAACCTACTCTTAAATATCTTCAGAGATGGAGATTCCACAACCTCCCTGGGCAATTTATTCCAGTGTTTGACTACCCTGACAGTTAGGAACTTTTTCCTAATGTCCAACCTAAACTTCCCTTGCTGCAGTTTAAGCCCATTGCTTCTTGTTCTATCCCCAGAGGCCAAGTTGAACAAGTTTTCTCCTTCCTCCTTATGACACCCTTTTAGATATCTGAAAACTGCTATCATGTCCCCCCTCAATCTTCTTTTTTCTAAACTAAACAAACCCAATTCCTTCAGTCTTCCCTCATAGGTCATGTTCTCTAGACCTTTAATCATTCTCGTTGCTCTTCTCTGGACCCTCTCCAATTTCTCCACATCTTTCTTGAAATGTGGTGCCAGAACTGGACACAGTACTCCAACTAGAGGCCTAACCAGCACAAAGTAGAGCAGAAGAATGACTTCTCGTGTCTTGCTCACAACACACCTGTTAATGCAT